GGAGAAGGGAGTTTTGTTCTCTGGGCATCCAGCCCAGCAGTGGCCCCTGCTGTCCGTGGGTACTGGCGCTTCCTGGGCAGCTGTGGGTGCATGTGGGCAGGGTGGCTTGGTGGGGTTTGGGGTGGCAGAGCAAGGGAAGGGACAGCCATTCTGCAAGGCTTGGGCCAGAAGGGGGGTCCCATGGCCAAGGGTCTTTGTGCTGCCCTTCTTCCCATGGGGCACAGGTGAGCACAGTGGTGCCCTGAGGTGGGGTAGCCCCACATGGGGCCAGGGAGGACAAACCCCAGCACTGGCAAGCCCAGAGAGACAACCTGGTTGTTTTGTGGCATTGGATGACTGTATATGTCCCCAACTGATGCTGGTGGCAGAGGGCAGCAAGGGGACATGCTTACCTTGCAGGGTCTCTGTCTGTCCCTGGAGGGTCCAGGGTCCTCACTATGGAGATGCCGCAGTGGCAGCCCTGGGGGCCCGCACAGGAGATGTCACCAGTGGGGATCCCACTCTGCCAGGGGACCCTCTGCTCCCACAAAGCACCTTCTTGCTAGGCCTGCCTGGGGAAGGAGCATTTCCAGCATTTCCCTGGTCCAACTTGGTAAGCCAGTGCCAACTGTGTGCTGTGCCTGCCGTGCGCCCCAGGAGCCAGAGAGCCTTGGCTCATTTCTCAGAGGGTCTGGGCTCCCTGGCTGGTGGTTGCCCACGTCGGCAGCAGGAGTGGTGGGTGACAAGGTCAGTGGGGGCATTGGCACTTGGGGAGCTCTGACTACTGGTTCTTGGGCACCCAGGGGTTGCCTCCATCCCTCGCCCAGCCTCCTTGCCCAGGCTCTCCTCAGGGCTCCGTCCGCTGCCCTGGTTCCTGGCGGGCGTGGAGCAGCTTGGCTGCGCTGCGGGGTCTTGGCGGGGAAAGCACAGCGCAGTCGTCCCCTCCACAAAGCCGCACTGTTCAGAACAAATCCACCCAGAATCGGGCTGCATTTTTGTCAAGTGATTCATCAGCACGTGAATGGAAAAGGCTGGAGCCCACTGAACCAGCAACCATTCCCCGCACGGGAGCCGGCACTCGCTGCACCCGAGTTACACTGGTGGCGCGCAGGGCTCGGCTCACGGAGACGCGGTGGCCGCGGGGCGAGGGGTAGCCTGTGTCTGCGGTGATCCCAGGACACTGCTTACACAGGAGTGGGCGCTGTCCCCAGGCAGGGCTGAGGCCCAGCCCTTCCCAAGGGAGGGGAGCAGCTGGGAAAGCCCCCAGTGCAGCCATTGCTTCCCCCAGCCCCGCACAGAATGAGTGCTGCCTGTGACTGGGGATGGCCATTTTGGGAAACCTCTTCCCTGGTCCCTGCTCATGTTGGTGCCACTGTCACCTTCCCAGAGTAAACTCTGTTGACACTTGCTGGTGCCCACATGGGGCCGTGCCCCCTGACCTTCAGCTTAAATAGCCTGCTTGCATGCCCCCACAGCCTGCGGTATTTATAGAGTGTGGTCAGATTCCCTCTCTGGCCATGCCAGGTGGGAGAAGCTCCTCTGTGCCAGGCAGTGGGTGACCTCTGCATGTCCCTGGCTGCTCCCAGCCCAGCACCCTTCAGTGGGGACATGAACCAGGATGAACTCTGTGAGAGTGCCCAGCTCCCTGTTCCCTGCCCCACAGTGCTCGGGGGGCTGGCAGGGCAGGGGGAAGCCCTGCAGGGTGGGGAGCTGCCCTTCCCTTGGATGGGGGTACCCCTGGCAGAGCAGGGAGCCCTGCCAGCCACTGCCCTGCAGCCAGGCCCCCTCTATCCTCGGAGTGCTGAGTAGGAGCTCTAGCTTTGGCACTGCCACTCTCCCCTTCACCATCAGCATCCCTGGTACTGCCTTGGAGCTTCTGTCCCTGCACTGGTGGAGGGAGCTGGGCACAACTGGGGGCTGCAGGTCCCAGGAAGGGACCCAGGCACTGTGCCCAGCATGAGCCAGCCCGATGTCCCAGCCGGTGAGTAAGGTTGAGCTGGCTGCCCGCCCTGCCCCTGCAGGTCACTGCCACGTGCCGAGCCCTCACATGCCGGAGTGCTCATCCTGGGCTGTGGCAGCAGCATAACCGCAGCGACCCTGCCACAGCAGAGCTGTCCCCTGGCTCACCGTGCCACGGCCTCACCAGCCCTGGGGCCCAGCGATGCTGTTGTGAACTTTCCTTATCACCCGCCTTGAGGCTGCTGCTGCAATGCTGCTGGCCACTGTCCTGCACGTGCCAGAGATCCATCCCTCTGGGGACAGCGGCTGACATCCCTCTGGGGTGACATCCCTCTGGGGGCAGCCAGGCAGGCAGTGGGGTCTGCTGCGGGCAGTAGTCCCCTGTGTAGGTGGGAGACCCTGTGAGATGCAGGGACTGAGTGGGACTGGTCATCCACTTACCTCACCTCTCCCTTCCAGTGATCCGAGCCAAGGCAGTCTCTGCAAAGGAGGTGGATTCGGGGAATGATATATACGGGAATCCAATCAAACGCATCCAGTATGAAATCAAGCAGATCAAGGTAATGGGACACATCGGGTCAGGAGGCTGGGGCCGTGGGGTGGCCCCTTCACCAGTCACTCACGCCTGCCTCTGCTCCCCAGATGTTCAAGGGCCCCGACCAGGACATAGAGTTCATCTACACGGCTCCATCCACTGCCGTGTGCGGCCGGCTGCTGGACACCGGCGGGAAGAAGGAATATCTCATCGCAGGTGAGCACTGTGGGGAAGGCTCTCAGGGGGCAGCGGGACAGTGCCTGATGTGTGTCTGCTCCCAGGGCACATTCTCCCCTTGCCTCTCCTGCTCCTGCCTGTGCTCGGCAGCCCTGAGCCATGGTGGGGGCAGCCGGGGACAAGCCTCTGCTCCCCAGAGTCACCAGGGCCAGGGCACAGTGAGGGGCCCCAGGCACCACGAACTCTCAAGGCCCAGGGCAACCCCCTTGAGTGGTCTGTCTGGCCTCTCCCCAGGCAAGTCAGAGGGCAATGGCAAGATGCACATCACGCTCTGTGACTTGGTGTCCACCTGGGACTCGCTGACCCCAACCCAGAAGAAGAGCCTAAACCAGCGGTACCAGATGGGCTGTGAGTGCAAGGTGAGCAACCAGGCTGCCCCCCACATGCCCCATGCCCCACACCACGGAGGGTGTGCAGCCCCCAGGCAGGGGTGGGCTCCACAGTGAGATGCTCTTCCCTATCCTTCACGGGTGATGCTGTGCAGGGACACAGCACGTGGCTGGGCAAACAGGAAGGGCAGCCCTGCCTCTGTCTTCCTCCAGCTGGGAACCAAGGCCAGCCCTGGAACTGGCAACCAGGGGTTCCCCAGTTCCCTGCATTGGGGTTGCATCCCCACCATGCCCCACAGGGCAGGGTCAGCCTGGCATCCCTGTTCAGAGCTGGGAGGCGAACAAAGCAGAGCATGCTGCTTCCGCCTGGCCCAGTGCCCCCTCAGGTTGGTGGGTGACAGTCTCTGTTACGCACAGATCTCGCGCTGCCTCTCCATCCCCTGCTTCGTCTCCTCCTCGGATGAGTGTCTGTGGACAGACTGGGCGATGGAGAAGAACAACGTGGATGGGCGGCAGGCGAAGCATTATGCCTGCATCAAGAGGAGCGACGGCTCATGCGCCTGGTACCGCGGCATGGCCCCCCCCAAGCAAGAGTTTCTCGACATCGAGGACCCCTAAGCCAAACGAGCGCATTCCAGTAGCCAGTAGAAAAAACCTGCAAGATGTTAGACTGGTCCACGCTGATATCAAACCCTGGAGACAGCATGAAAATCCACTTGGCTGCAGGGGGCCCCGGTGGCTGCCACACGTGTGGGGGCCAGGGCCAGGGACCCGCTCTGTTGCAGGCTCCTGGCAGCCCGCAGCTGCACTGGGCATCCTTCACTCGTGTCAGGGCTGAGCAGGGTGTGGGCACCTCCCTGCCAGGGTCACAATCCCCCAGCCATGCTTGGCTCTGGCAGCTGTGAAGGAATCAAGCCCTTGTGAGTGGTGGGAGCTGCCCTGGCTGCGTAGCAGGTCTACCAGTGCCCCGCTGCGGGAGCCTCCCCCACAGCTCCAGATGCACAGCCCTTCCCACTGCAGCACCTGGCAACCCTGCTGTACCCCTCCCCCCACCACCTACCTCTCCCTTTGGGGTGCCAGAAGGGTACCCCTCTGGGCAGGGGCTCTGGGGGGCTTTACCATGGGGCACAACCCCCAGCAAGGGGCTCCGGGCCTTTCACAGGGCCAGACGACTCCTGCACAGGTGCCTTGTCCCAGAAAGCTAGAGGGGCATGTTAGCATATCTGGGGTGACCCCTGACATGCACCCGTGCACTGTTGCCTCTCTCTCCACGTGGTCCTCTCTCCAGGGGTCTCTGTTCCCCTGCAACCTCCTACAGATCCTTCTGCAGATGCCACCATTGGACAGGCTCAACCTGGAACCCTTGGCAGGGCACCAGGGGCCGCAGCTCTGGCTGCATGGGCACAGGGTGTCCATCATCGCCTCGTGCAGATCTGGGCCATGCCGTGGCCCTCAGCACCACTGCAGCCAGGCAAGCTCCCTTCTCTGCGGTGTCAGGAGCGGAGCCTGGAACTGGCAGCAGGGCAGCTGCAGGAAAACCTGTCCCCTCCGGTGACCCCTCACACCCCTGGGCCCTGAGTTCTCTGAGCCATCCCCATGCCGCAGCGATGCTGGCGTGTGCCGCGGAGCTGTCGCGGCACTGGCACGTGCACCCGTGGCTTTGGGAGCGTGCCGGGAATGCTCCCTGCAGCCCTGTGCCGGTGGGGTTTTCATGCTGTGTGTCCCTGTAAGGTTTGAGATGTCATACTGGACCAGTCTGGGCAATTTCAACATATTAAAGAGAAAAATTAAAAAGAAAGAAAAAGAAAAAAAACCCCCAACCTTTACTCAGTCCCGATCACGCATCCCGGGCGCTCTGTATGGCTGTACCCGTTGTGCTCCTGTCGCTGCTGCTCCTCTGTCTTTGACTTCAATATCGCCACTTGTTTTGCCGCCGGCTCTGTCGTCCCTGTGCCGTGATTTCCGTCTCCTCGTCCGGCGCTGGAGCCGCCCCGGTACCCGCAGAGGGTCTGTGCCGGGAGCTCCAGGCAAGGGGGAAGAGGGGACTGCCGCTCCGGTTCGGCCCTGGGGGGCTCGGCCGGGATCCCCCCGAGCCCCTCGGACCCAACCGGACCCCCGGCCCCAGCTCAGCAGCGGAGAGAAGCGAAGCCCGCGGGGCGGCCGGAGGGAAGGGAACGAGTCAGGGAGGGGAAGAGGGAAGGGCCCACCTTCGGATGCGGGCGGCAGCGCCGAGGGCGGGATCGGGAGGGATCCGACGGCACCGGGAGCGGGACCGGGCGGGGCCATGACTCAGAGGGCTCGGGCGGGGCCGCGGTACCGCATGGTGGCCGGTCCGCGTGGAAACGTCTCCTGGCGGGACCGTCCGCTGTGGGCGCGGCGTTGCCGGCCGCCTTTGCCCGAGCAGTAGTCGCGTCCCGCCTCCGCCCGCGCCGGGACTCGCAGCGGGCGGGCGGAGCTCGTGTCTCCGTTGGCTGTTCCGAGCGAGGGGCGGAGCGGCCGCGGCTCCGGGCTGCGCGCAGGCGGAGCGCAGCCGTCCTGCGGGGCCGGCGCGGAAGCAGTTCGTGCCGGCGGCGGGCGAGTGGCGGTGTGGCGACACGTGCGTGCGGCGGGACCCGGATGGTGAGCGCTGCCGGGGCCGGGCGGGACGGGCCCGGGGACGCCGGAGCCTGCGCCCCCGTCCCGCCGCGCTGCTCCGCCCTGCCGGCGGGGCCGCCCGCAGGGAGCGGAGCGCCGGGACCGGCCGGGCCGCAGATGGCGGCGGCTGGGCCGAGACCGCGCGGTGGAGGCGCTCGGGGTCGCAGGTGGCGGCGGAGGGTTTGCGGTGCCCGCGGCGGCCGAGGGAGCCGCCGAGGGGGCCGTGGCGGCGGCCGGCTGCTCTGAGAGCCGGAGCGCAGCGGGAGAGGCCTTGCCGGGCCGGTGCCCCCCGCTCAGCCGCCCCTTTCCTCCCTCTCTGCAGCCGCGGCCGCCGGGCCCGCCGAGCCGGCCGCCCACGGCGATGATCGCGGAGAAGCTGCGGGAGGCGCTGGAGCCGGGGCGGCGGGAGGCGGCGGCGGAGCTGGGCCGGCCGCTGGCCGCCGCCGCCCGCTCCGTGCTGCAGCAGCGCATCGAATTCGTGCCCGCCCGCCGCGGCCTGGCCGGGCAGCTGGAGCACCTGCGGGACAAGTACGAGCACATCGGGGCCGAGGCCATCGGCCGCCCCCTCGGCATCACCGGCAGCCTTCCGGAGCAGCCGCAGAACCCCCCGGGTAAGTGCAGAGGGTGAAGGGACCCTCCGCGCTCCTGCCCACGGCTGACTCTCTGCTTCCCTCAGGACACAGCCATGCCCCGCCGAGGGCCGCGGGTGATGGGATCCCCGCGCCGCAGAAGGTGCTCTTCCCAGCCCAGAGCCTCTCCATGAAGTGGGAGCGGGTCCACCGTGTGGGCGCCGGGCTGAGTAACCTGGGGAACACCTGCTTCCTGAACTCGGCGCTGCAGTGCCTGACATACACACCGCCACTCACCAACTACCTGCTCTCCCGGGAGCACGGACGCACCTGTGAGTGGGGACCCCGGTTCAGGGGGCTGGGAGGGATGAGCAGCGCCTGCCTGTCCTGCTCACAGTGCTGTGCTCAGCACCTCTGTGCCTGGCTTTGGTGAGGCCGTGCAGATATCAGGATGCTCTTTTCCTGCCCTGCCTGTTTCTCTGTCAAGAGGCTGTTCCTGGGTCCTACTCACTTTTCCAGGCCATAACAGTGTTCCCAAGCTTGGCATCTTTGTCTCTGCTGGGTGTAGCCAGGACTAAGATGGGCCCAATGGGGCCTGCTGGCTTCTTGGGGGTCCTGAATAGCCCCTGACTGTGGGGAGTGCAGAAGAGCAGTGTGGCAGGCGCTGCTGTGAGCTGTCACCACAGGGAGCACACAGGCCTTGCATCCCCATCCATAGGAATGCCAGCAGGATCTGTCCCTCAGGGCCAAGCTATGGGATGGTCCAGTGCATACCTGGGACCTGTGTTCTATCAGTGTAAACACTCTCATGTGGGGAGCTGCCCTGGCTGGTCCTGTGATGGGCTGTGCCAGTTGGGATGGCACGGGCTGGTCCCCATGTCCCGTGGCATCGAGCTCATAGGGAAAACTGAGCTGTATTGGACCAGAGATTGCCTGTCCTGCCTCCATCTCTCCTGGGTTTGTCCCCAATGTCGTGTCGTCTCTCCTGCTCCAGGTGCCCACGGAAGCTTCTGCATGATGTGCACTATGCAGAACCACACGATTCAGGCTTTTGCCAACAGCGGCAATGCAATAAAGCCACTCTCCATCATCCGAGACCTCAAGAGTAAGGAGGGCTGCCCCCCCATGACTAATGTGGGAGCAGAGCTGTTGGGATTGGGGCATGTTTTGGCAAACAGCTCCACTGAGATGACTCATGGAGCCTCGGAGTGCCTGGAGACTTCTTGGGCTGCCAGGGGCTTCCTCTGTGACATGAGTCTGATGTGTGGTTTGGGTTGAGGGGACTCAAGCCCCAGAGTCCTTGCCTCAGAGAAGGCAGGGAGGGATGGCATCTGTTGCAGCACGTGCTGAGTCCTCCCTCTCTTGCAGAGATTTCCCATAACTTGCGCTTCGGCAGGCAGGAGGATGCACACGAGTTCCTGCGCTACACCATCGATGCCATGCAGAAGGCCTGCCTGAATGGCTACACCAAGTATGTGGGGCCTGATGGCCCATCACTGCTCTTTGCTGTTCCCTTGCTGGTCCCCTGCACTCACGGGAGTGGACTGTGGAGTGAACATATGCCCCAGGTCAGCCTTATTGTGGGGAGGTTCTGACTCCAGGGGCCTCGGGTGTGGGGTCCAGCTCTCTGCCCCTCAGGGACAGGGCTCTGGGCTGTTGTTCACCTTCTGCTGACTCTTCCACCTCAGCATAGCTGCAGTCCTGCCCCCAAATCCCAAGGCTGCTACAGGCTGGGATCACATCCCACTTGCTGAGGGATACAGGCCTACTTGCTAGCTCAGCCCCAACTTTGTGGCTGTGTAAGGGCAGCTTCCCCCAGGCCATTTGTCCTGGGAAGCTCTGCCTCTGCTCTGAGCTCCAACCAGAAGCTTCTGCTTCCTAGAGAGGAAGGTGTGTGTTGGAGCCTGGTGTCACCCCTCAGCTGGGACACAGGGAGAGCAGTCTGGCAGGGGCTGTGACTTCCCACTGCCCCTGGGGCTCCACAGCCCAGCCACTGGCCAGAACACAGAGTGGGGCTGTCCTGAGGGGTCCAGCAGGGCTGGCTGCTGCAGTGTGAGATCTGTGCTGCTGTCTCTGTGTAGGTTGGATCGCCAGACCCAGGCCACAACTCTGGTTCACCAGATCTTCGGTGGTTACCTGCGGTCCCGTGGTGAGTACCAGCAGTGTGGGCCTGGGCCTGGGCAGTAAAACCCTTTGGGAAAATGGCTTACATGTTTGACTTACCAGAGCTGCAGTCGGTCAGTCCTGCAGCACTTGTGAGTCACAAACCCTGGTGTGGCAATGGGAAAAGCCACTGCCTGTGGGGCCCAGCTCAGTGCCATCAGCAAAAGGAGCCATGTTCCCAGCTGTCTAGCAACAGCTGCTTCCCCAGCAGAGTGGATGTGCCAGCCCTCCTCCCTGCGAGGCTGTCAATCCCAGTGCTGACATCCCAGAGCCCAGACCTGGACTGGGGGGACACTGCAGCTGTCTGTGCCCTGCTGGGGTGTGGTAGGTGCTGGTGTTGTGCCAGCGTGTGCCCATGGCTCTTCCTTTTGCAGTGAAATGCTTGGAGTGCAAGACTGTCTCGGATACCTATGACCCTTACTTGGATGTGACACTGGAGGTCGAGGTATTGCTGCAGGGTTGGGATGGGGGTCTCTGCTCTTGAGGGGGGTGTTCCTGCTCTGAGGCTCCTTAATCTGCAGTCAGGTGCTGGCAGGAGGGAAGCAGCTTCTGCTGTTGCTCCTCCTTCCCTGTCTCAGTGCCTGTTGTCTGAATATGAGCCGTGACCCCTCCTTGCAGGCTGGCAGGGCTGTGGGGCAGAGCAGCCACCACGCCGTGCCAGGGCCAGGCACAGGACTCTGGGGCAGCCTGCAGCCCTGTGCTGTGTGCTCTCTCCTGGGACCGGCACCTCCGCAGGGAGTGGGGCTGTGCTGTGGGCAGGCCCCACGTGCCCTGACCTCCACCCTGTCCTTGCAGCGAGCCGCAAACATCGTGCGGGCCTTGGAGCTGTTTGTGAAGCCAGAGCAGCTGGGTGGGGACAACGCTTACAGGTGCAGCATGTGAGTGTGAACATAGGGGCTTAACGGAGTCCACGGGTGTGCTGTGGGAAGGCTGCCACAATGTGGGAGGGCTTCTGTGCCTGCTGCATGGCTAAACCATGAGGCGCAGGGCCATGGAAGCCTGTGATGAAGCCTGCTGCTCCTCAGCTCCCTTGTCTTCAAAGGCATGGCCGTGGGGAGGTGTCTGGAGCAGTGCCTGGTGCCAGCGGCACCATTCCCAGCGGGTTTGCCATTGCTGTGTGGCCAGGGCAGGCAGCCATGGATGCTTGAACAGCTTGAATAGCTTGAGCTTTCCTGGGCAGGTGCAGGAAGAAAGTGGCGGCCAGCAAACGTTTCACCATCCACCGAGCCTCCAACGTTCTCACGATTTCACTGAAACGCTTTGGCAGTTGTGGCTCTTCAGGTGGAAGGAAAATCACCAAGGTGAGTGCTCAGTGATCCACAGCCAGGGCTGTGTCCTGGCCCTAGGTCCTGCCCCCGAGCAGGGCGGGAGGTGGTCCTGGTGCAGTCCTGAGGCCGTTCCCCAGTGGGAGAAGTTGGGTTCATCCTGGCATCTTCCTCGCCAGTCTCTGCCTGGGGAGAGCATGTCCCCTGCCTCGAGAGATGAGACTCATAGCACAGCAGAGCTGCTCTTGCTCTGGCAAGAAAGCCATGGCAGCTCCTGAGACTTCTTTCCACAGGACGTGGGATACCCTGAGTTCTTGGACATCCGGCCTTACATGTCCGAGCCCAAGGGCGACCCCATCACGTATGGACTCTATGCAGTGCTGGTGCACTCTGGGTACAGCTGCAACGCAGGGCACTACTTCTGCTACGTGAAGGTGAGCCTGGGATGCTCCTTTGGGACCCTGCCTGGGCTGGGGCCTGGTAGGTGCTTGTGGGTCCCTTCAGGGTGCAGAAAGGAGGGTGCTTGGCAGGGTGGATGGTGTGGAGTACTGGACATGGGGTTCAGACTGTGGTCAGCTGCAGGAAACATGAAGGTCTGCCCTCACAGAGCTCCCTGGTCTGCCCCTGGGCCATCTGTGGGTTTTGGGGAGAGGAGCTCTGATGATGGGTGCTGTTCCTGCTGCTCTGCAGGTCAGGAGACTCCCTGGCCAGAGCCTGACCCTGTTCTTGGGCACAGCCTGACCTGCTCCATGTTCTGCTTCCACAGGCCAGCAACGGGCAGTGGTATCGAATGAATGACCATGAGGTCCACCCCAGCAACATCAAGGTGGTTCTCAACCAGCAGGCCTATGTGCTGTTCTACCTGAGGTAAGAGAGCACCCGGTGCCTCCTGGTGCCCTACCCCCACCAAGCAGCCCCAAGGCCCCTGGATGTGTGCTGGCCCAGAGTGGGGGTGCAGGGAGTGGTCCAGTCCCTTTTCATGGTTTGCTGTAGCACCTCACCTCCTCCAGCCTCTGGCTCCCCTTCCTCGTGTGCCTGCTGCTCACCAGTGTTCCCACGGCTGATGTGCTTTGCCTTCCCCAGGCTGGGCAGCCCCAGGAAGAGCTCAGCAGGACCCATGGCCACCGCTGCCTTCAGCCCACCCAGCTGCACTGCCAGTGACTCCAAGCCAATGAAGAAACCTGCGATTAACGGGACTCTGTGTGTGCCACCGATGGGCCTGGTGAGTCCTGAAGGTTGGTGCTCCCAGGAGCTGCTGCTCCACGGGCCCTGGGGGCTGCAGCCAGGCCGGGAGGTGGATGAGTGGGAGGGTGTTGTGCAGGAGAGATCCTGATCCTGCTGAACCCAGGGATCCTGGCTGGGCATGGGGAGGGTACTATCACTGTGTCTGCGGCTCCTTGAGTTTCCTCACTGAACTTCTCTCTTTCTCCGTGTCTAGAAAGAAGACAAGCTGCTGGGGAAGGGGCTGCCAGACCCAGGTGATGTTGGAGTCCCTGTTGCCCGCAGCTCTTCTGGGATGGGGTCAAAGCTGACAAATGGAGTTGCTCTGTCAAAGCTACCCTTTCAGACCCCATCCTACAAACTGCCCCACAGAGCCACTCACGAGGCCACACTGCTGGGCAGTGACACAGTCCAGAGGCCCAAGAAGCCACAGACACCTGGCATGCCCAGAACAGGCTTTCATGCCGCCACCAGCACCATGTGCAGGGCCAAAACAGGGCTTCCCCCACAGGGCTCAGACAGTGAGAAGCCACCTACCTCATCCAAGCTGCTGAAGTCCAGCCAGGAGCCCAGTGGCTGTGGGGTGATGGCCAGGACCCTTAAGAATTCCTGGGGCAGCACAGTAGGGCAGCTGGCCAAGGAGACCCACAGGGCCAAGAGCAATTCCAGCAGCTTCTGCACCTCTCAGGGAAGGGACTCTGGCACCCACCTCCCTGCTGGCCCTGGCACCAAGCTGGCTGTCCCTAAAGACTGTGACCTGGCTGCCCCCAAAAGCTCTGGGACAGCCCCTGTGAAACCCTCCCTGCTGGGCAGCGCTGCGCTGGAGTGGGGCAGCACCACGGCACCGCTGCTGGCCAGGAAACCAGAGCTCTCAGCCAAAAAGGTGAGTGAGCTTCTGACCAGAGACTCCAGCTGAACACCTTAGGCCTTCTGAGCAGGTTATGTAGGGCTCCTGCCAGGCACCTGCTCACCAGGGGTGGGTGGGGAGAGCCCCCCAGCTCCTAACCCAGGGCCGTGCTGGCTGCTCTCCCCCCTCTCTGGGTCGGGGTGTGGGAGCAGGCCTTGCTGTTGTCCACATTCCTGAGTGGTGCAGGGGTTGCCTGGGACAGAGGGGTGACTGCCAGTCCCTGTGGGGGGGGCCTTGGCACCTTCTTGGTGTCACCTGTCCCCTGGGGCCAGTGGCAGGGGGTGATGCCACAGCAGGAGGGTGGGGGGGTGCCTCCTCCACAGGCAGCGAGTGGGCTCAGGAGGGTGCACTGGGGTTCCAGGTCTTTAAATTTCTCTCCTTCCTTTTTTCCTTTGTTCTTCTAACTGAACACACTTCTGATTCTCCCACCCCCCACTTCCCTGCCCCTGTGTCTGGTCTCCCCTTTCTCTGGGCTCCCCTTTTTCTCTTGGCTCATGGAGACCTTGGTGTTAGACTGCCAAGTTTTTATTTATGTCAATAATTGCAGGGCAAACCCTCTCAGAAGGTGAGTGTGAGTGACCACCAAGCACGATCCCAGCCCTCCGCCACCACCCATCCTGACTCCACTCCTAGGCCTCTGGGCAAGTCCAGGTAAGCAGTGCCATTGCTCCCAGGCTCCCACGTGGCAAGCAGGCCAGTGACAGCCTTGGGTGCTCCATGGGGTATCTGTGGGGCCTTGCAGCCAGCTTTTCTGTTCTCCAGGGCTGGCAGGGCTTGCTCCAGGTCTGAGAAGAGCTGACTTCAGCACAGAGTGGGAGGGAGTTTTGCCAGTCCTGACTCTGTACTAATGTCCCATGGGATCAGGAGGCACCAGCGTGGTCTAGATCTTGCTCTGGGTGTCCCTTGTAGCCTTCACCACCAGCAGGTGCTGCAGCAGCACCCACTCTTTCCTGGTCTGCTGTGGGACCTGTGTGTGCTTCCAGAGCAGCATCTGATTCCCATTTTGTGGGCAAGATGGCAGCAGTTGGGTGTTGTGCTTCTGCACCTCAGGGGAGGGAGGAGGAGAGGGGCTTCCAGGCTTTCAGGTCAGCCTCTTTTCCTGTCCCTCAGCCTGTCCTCTTCTCCTCTTGACCTTCCCAGTCCTGAAAAGCCTGCCTTCAGCTTCATGCTCAACTTGCCTGCTCAGCACCCAGCCTCCCTGCTGACCCATGGTTCCACTGCCCACACTTCACACCACCTTCTTTCTGGCAGCAGGGACACGGGGTCTGGCCAGGAGGAGCCAGAGGGTTCCTTCAAAAAGAAGCGTCGGAAGAGGAAGCATCGTAGCACAGACAGGAGCCCTGGTGCTGTGGCTGTGAAGGACGTGGGTGAGGTCTCCAGTCTTCCCAAGAAGGAGAGAATTGTTTCTCCAGAGGGCTTCAAGGACAAAGACTCCAGGCTCCCCAAGAAGGAGGTCATTGCCTCTCAGAAGGACTTCATTGATAAAGACTCCAGGCCCCCCAAGAAGAAAATTGCCTCTCCAGGCGACTTTGTATCTGTCACGGGGAAGGACGTGGCACACAAGGGTCTCAGCCATGGTCTGGTCTGTCAGGACATGAAGAGTGGACCCAAGCAACATGTGCCAGAGCCCAGTATTGGCCTGGGCATGGAGTCAACTTCACCTCTGAAGAGGAAGAAGAAGAAGAAGAATAGGAGCAAAGACAGGCCCTTGAAGATAGAAGAGTGCAGCTCTGGGATGCTGTCTTCAGACAGGTGAGGGACAAGGGGCATGTTACAGCCTGAGGTCAGGCTCCCTGAGTCGGGGGCTTCTCATCTTTGTGCAGCTGGGATGCCCCTCAGCATGCCTCCAGCTGAAGCCCCTGATCACTGTGGGTGGGTTCATCTCTCCCTGGGTGCTGTCTGGGTATCTCTGTGCCCTGTTGCTCTGTGGGCAGTTCAGACCCCTGCTCTGGTCTGGCTGGTGTCAGCTGACCCTGCTGCCTTCCCCAGCTCCAGGACAACTGAGGCAGAGCCCTGCAGGACACATCAGAGCGTGGAGGCTGGAGAGCACAAGCACCGCAAACGCAAGTGGATGGAAAGCCTCAGCAGCCTGGCTGCCAACACTGTCCCCACTGCCAGCACCCCAGGTGTGACCCTGTGCCCTGTCTGGTGCCTGGCAGGGTCAAGCCTGCCCAGGAACATTGCTGTGCCATCCCTAGTGTTTGCTGGTCCCACAGCTGCCTGGCAGTGCCTGTGTCCTGCCCCCTGGGCTGGGCTGCCCTGTCCCAGGCCTGCCTGCTGCTCCTGGGGGACAGCGTGGGAGCCCTTGCCTCTGCCCTGGAGGAGGAAGTGGGGACAGGTCCCTTGACTGACCCCCAGGACAGGCACTTACGTGCCCAGACACCCTCAGCCGTCAGGACTTTGTCTGTCCAAATGGTGTCTCCTGGGATGAGATCACTTTGGAGAGGGAGGGGACATGGTAGCTGCCCTTGCTCCCCCTGGCTCATCCTCACCCTGCCTGTTTCTGCAGTGGCAGCACATCCCAGTGACAACCAGACTGGGGATGAGAGACCCTCCCTGGCTGCCCTGAGCCCTGTGGCCAGCAGCTGGGCTGGTGCAGCCCCTGAGGGCCAGGAGTCCAGCGTGGTGGGCAAGCTGCTCCAGAATTCCTTGGACAAGGCTTATGGCAAAGAAGGTAATCCTGGCTCACCTGGGTGGGCAAACATCTGTGCAGCCCCTGCCCTAAGCCCTGGGTGTGGGCAGAGCCTCCTCAGCTCTGCAGGGCCTGAGCTCCCCCACCCCAGTGCAGGCAGGGGGTGCAGGGTGCTCCTGGAAGCAGGCAGGTGCACCCGGGCACGGGGCTGGCACAGGGTGGGCAGCAAGGGGCTCGGGCCCGGGGGGGGGGCCAGGTGCAAGGGGATGCAGCAGGGCACAGCCCAGTCCTTCTGAATTCACCGCTCTGCAGTCTTGACCTGGCAGGGTGAGATTTCGGCCGTGAGCCAGGATGCCATTCGGGACACAGCGCTGGCCCAAAGCAAGACTGTCATTGATGAGTGGGACCAGGAGTTTGACAAAGGAAAGGTGGGTGCTCAGCTGGGGCAGGTGGGAAGAGGCTGGGGCCTCTGCACTCTGACCTGAGTGCTCTCCTACCTCTGCACAGGTAAAGAAAATGAAGAAGATGAAGCAGGAGCGGAGGAGAGACTCAAATCCGTTTCAGAAGTTGCAGAACAAGCGCAACTTCTGGTTGATGTCACATCCTGCCAAGATGGCCAGCCTGGGCCACCGGCTCTCAGGTGAGTGAGCCAGGGGGCACAGCGAGCTTGGGGGCTGGGGGGATGGCGGCCTGGTGGGGGATGACACTGCTCCTTGCCTTGCAGGTTGAGATCTGCATCCCCGACTGCTCAGGGAGCAGTCCCGGGTCAAGGACCGAGGGCAGCGCTGTCCTGGGAGCTGTCGGTGGAGCACACTCAGAGGGGAGGGAATACAGCCGCAGCCCTGGGGTTGTGCCTTTTCCTTCGGGGAGCTGCTTTCCAGCTGTAGAGGAGCCTGCCCACTCTGCCTTGCCTGCAGCCTGCCTCGGCCAGGCTCCTCGTCAGCTCCTCCGTGCCTCTTGCCCCAGCCCGCACCTGCGGGGGCTCCTGGCAAGTGCCTCAAATCCATCCCTGTTGCTCCATGCTGCTGTGCCTCCCCTTCCCAGCGTTACCGACCCTCACTCCATGACCCCCATCCCCTGCACGGGCTGCATGGAAAGCCTCCCCCGGCCCCGTGTCGGCCCGGCCCCGCGCTGGCGCGGGGGCACCGGGGGGGGATCCCTGCGGGGCCGCAGCGCCGTCGCCGGGGCTACGGGCATTGAAGGATGGAACTGAATAAATCCCGGTCTTTGTCACTCGGCCATGGTCGGCTGCGATCGGGAGGGGCGAGCGGGAGGGGGCACCGGCGCGGTGGGACGGAGGGATCGCCGGGGCGGATGGCAGGGGGCGGGGGCCCTGCGAGGCTCCGCCCCGCCCGGGTCACGTGCTGCCGGCCGTGGCGGCTGCGGCGCGCTCGTCACGCGGGCGGGGCTGGAGCGGCGGCGGCGGGATGGAGGAGGAGGAGGGCGGCGGCTGCGGTCAGTGCGGGCCGGGGGCGGGCGGGGGGCTCTGGGACACCCACCTGGCCCGGGACGAGGCGCCGGGGTAGTCCGTAGTCCCCGCTGGGCGGCGGCGACTCTCCCGGGCGGGGCGCGTTTGGGCCGGGCCGCTCCCAGGTGCAGGACCGGGGGCGGTGGCACCGGGACGGGCGGGGATTCGGCGGCGGCGGGACCTGCGCCCGCAAGTGACAGAGCGGCCTTGGCGGCATCGTGCGGGCGGCGGCGGAGGAAGCGCCGGGCGGAGCTGGCACCTGGTGCCCGCCGGCAGCGCGGGGGGCGGGCGCGCCGTGGGGCCGCCCTCCCGGGGCCCGCGGAGCTCCGTGGCCCGCTGCCCGCACGCCTGCCGTCGGCCGCTCACACTTTGCTCCGGTGCTCCCACGGCACTGCCGAGTCCCGGCCCCGCAGAGCTCCGGGCAGGTTGGCCTCGATGGCGCCCGCTGAATGTCACAATCCCCCGGTTCGGGAGCTCCCGGCGTGTGGCCAGACCCGCTCCCAGGGCGGGCCACGGTGGCTCAGGGGTTGCAGGGTCTCCCCTCTCATGCCTGTGCATTCTCCTCCCGCTGCCCTCTGCCCTCCGTGCCCGCAGAGCGCTCCTTCCTCCCGGTTCTGAGGACCGGGACTGGGCAGGGAGACCCTGCCTGTGCTGGTCTCTCCCAGGCAGGCTCCCGTGTGTCGGCAGATGGTTTTCCTTGGGCAGGGCCTTGCTGAGGGGAGGCTGGAGTCTGGCTGAGATGTGGGGCCATGGCCCCGGTGCTGGAGCCGTGCTGGTGACCGTTCTTCCTGGGAGCAGCTGGTGCCAGCCGAGTGCCACTGCCGGCAGTGCTGGTTCTGGGGCCGGTTTCCTGCCCAGCTGTGCGACGCGGCCGATTAGGAGCTGCAGTTCCACCCCAGCAGTGACAGTGCTGGGCTGCGAGGACTTCACTGTGTAAGATAAGGAAGGTGCCGGCGGCTGCGGCCTGGCTCGGGTGTTGTCAGATACAACCCATTAGCGGGAGAGCGCTGTGGGGAGTGGTTCTGCCAGCAGCCTCTCGGTGCTTCCCGGAATCACCTGGAAGACATCCCGGGTCATCTCAGCATTAGAAGTGTCCCGCTCATCCTGCCGCGGGGGACGCAGGGAGTGCACAGCTGCCTCCAACCCACTGCTCCTGTGCTGGGGGCAGCACAGCCCACAGCTGCTCTGAAGCCTTAAGCTGAGTTGGTTTAGCCAAGGACATTCTGCCGAGGCTGTAGCGTGGTGGGAGCCGACGGGGAGTCTCTTTCTGGTGGGATTGTGCTGACGCCAGTGTCTGCCCCACGGCTCACGGCCTCTCTTCAGCCGTCTGCCTCGGCAGAGAGCAAATCCCAGGGCGAGCAGCTGGCGGCACAGATGTGTGCTCCCCCTGCTCCTGCCAGGGTGTGGGGCTGCACTCCCACCCCCTTCCCAGCATCTCCCCGTGGGAACAGCAGCGAGACTGAGCCCATCCCAGAGCAGAACTGACCGAGTGGTGTGGCTCAAACGCCTCTGGACCGTGGGGAGGAGATATCCTGGCGGGGAACCATCCTGGCTGCTCCTGCCTTGCCGAGCTGCAGCACTGGTGAGAGGATGTGAGGAGCACAGTCCTATCCTGGCACCGTGTCCTGAGCTGGGCCCCATCACGGCTCAGGCTGGCCCCAGGGAGAGGGGGATTGGGCACTGCTGGTAATCCCACTGCACCCGAGGGATTACTGCTCACTCTGGCCTGGGGATTAAGGGATTTCTCTAAGCGGGGTTGATGCAGCCTCCAGCAAAGCAGCTTGTGCCTGGGGGCCTCACTGTCTGGGGCAGGATGGGTGTGATGGCAGGGTGGGCTGTGCAAGGTGTGGGGGATCCCCAAAGGAGGGTGGGCTGCCAGGTCTGCAGCAGGCTGGTGGAGGGGCTTCTCACCCAGGTAGTCACTGCCCTCCTTGCCACTGGCCTGCAAAGTTCTGTTTTGCCAGTGGGTGCTGGCGGCCCTTTGGCACAGGCTTGGCTGTCCCGTGCTGGGACCATGGCACATCCCATGCTGGAACAGGTCCCACTGGCACCAGGGAACACTGCTGGGGGAGCTGCTGCTGATGCTCCAGCCCTTCCCTGGCACAGTGTGAGGTCAGCCTGGGCAAGTTGCTGCGCCCAGCTTGGCGAGCCACTCTTCCACAGAGCTAAGGGATGGACTCCCAGGTCAGAGGCAGAGGGACAGTGCTGGGGTAGCACCAGGCTTGGAGAGCAGAGCCAGCAACTTGGGCAGAGGCAGTCGTGCAGCTCCTCTCCTGAGATGTTTGGAGCAGAGAACAATGAACCCTGCTGCTGACACTTGCAGTCATGTCAGGGCTGTAGCTATGGTTTGTAAACACCCTGCCTTGCCTGGACAGGGTGCAAGGACCCAGCCAGGCATTCAGGTCACTCTGTATGGGAGATGCCACCTGGCCCTGCCTCGTCCCAGTCACAGCACCCACGTGCCTGTGTCACACTGGGGTTTCTGCAGATGCCAGTCCAGGCCCAGGCAGGTGCTCGTACAGCACGTGCCCAGCTCAGCCTCCCCCCTGCCCCCGGCTCCCTTTGCTTGCCCTTTTGTCTCCTGGTGATGTGGCAACCGCTGCTCTGGCCCCTGGGAAAGGGGAAGTGGTGTTGAAAACAGAAGGTCAGTCACATCAGCAGTGAGGGCCTGGCTGCCCTCGCAGCCCTGTCAGCTGCCCTTCTCCACTCTCTCCTCCTCTCTGCAGTCACACTGCTCCCAGCATCAGGGACTGCTCATGCCTGCCAGGGTGCCCTTCCCCACTGCCTGCCCTGTCTGGGCTTCTGCCTGCCCCGCTCAAGTTACTCCTGGCTCAACGATCCCAGTGGATGCAGGGCTAGGTGAGCGGAGCTGTCGAGCTGCTCCTGCCCTGACTCGCCCTGGGGTTTGTTACTCACGGCCATGCCCTGTGCTCAAGATCACTCCTGCTTTGAGGAGAGGAGCTGTCAGTCCGGTTTGGGTTTGCTCAGTGCCTGTGGGGTGGGAGGCTGGGAGGGTTGTGCATTTCCCCAGCTCCACAGCTGTTCCCCAGCCTGGGATCCCAGGGCACGACCCCTGGTTCCTGCTGCAGGAGCCCCCCACACACCAGGGCCGCAGCAGAGTGGGCAGTACCTCTGGGGCACGACAGGGCCTTGGTGTCTGCTCATGCTGGCACGCAGAGCTGACTGAGCCTGTTGGGCTGGGTCAGGGCTGGGGCTCGGGCCCTGCGCCCCAGGAGCGGGGGCCGTGGTGGCACCCCCACACTCGCACTCCGCGCTTCTCTGGGTGCACCTTCCTCCATGCGGCGCTCGTTGCTATGCGACCGCCGGCTCCTGATGCTTAATGCTCTAATACGGAGGGATAAAACCACTCTAAAAATACCCCGCTGCCCGCCCCCCGCGGGGGTAAGGGGGTTGCCGGGGGGCAGGCAGCCTGGGCAGGGGGGCCGCTAGGAAGTTCCGAAACTCCTCGTCCTCCAAGTGGCTTTGAGGCGCCCGCTGTGGCTCCGGCGGTGGCACGGCTGGTCTGCCGGTGCGGCGGGGATTGGCTGGGGCTGGCGCGTGGGCTCCTGCGGCTGGAGCTCCCCTTCCAGAGCCAGCTCCAGACAGAACCGGGACTGCTCTGGCTGCCCTGCCTGCGCCCTGCCCCAAGCACTGGGGAGCTGCCCTAGGTACTGGCTACCTGCCTGGCACTGGGGAGCCCACCTCTCGGCCACGCGCACCTGTCTGGCCTCTGTGTGCTCCTTCCTGACCTCTGCCTGTCCCTGCCTTGCCCTGCCGGAGCTGGTGGCATTCTGCGTGGGACCCCCGCAGCATGGGGACAGTCAGCGAGCTCTGCGCCTCCAGTTTCCAGGCATTCCTCTGCCCCTCGGTGGCTGCCAAGGCAGGTAGGCACTGCGTGCCCCCTCCCCTCTGTGCCGCGGGGTTCCCATCCCCCAGCAGACGTGGCGGTGCCCATGGCTCCGGTTCCATATGGCTCTGGCTCCATATGGCTCCTGCTGAAAGCAGCACAGAGTGTCCTCGCCATCTCACTGCCTCCTTCCTCTGCCGGCCTTCCCAAGCTTGGGCCTCTGCAAGCACTGGGCCCCTCGCCTGGCATTGCCCTGCGCTGGAGCTGGTGCCGTGGTGGGACAGGGGTGTTGGGGAGCCAGTGGTGGTGGCTGGGAGGTCACAGGCAGCGCAGCATGGCCATGGTAGATCCTGCCCCAGCCCCTCTACCCTGCCCTGCCCTGGAGGATGTGTGAGCGCTCGGTCGTCCTCATCACAGCAAGTGCCGGAGGCTACAGAGGGCAGGGTGGCACTCTCCAAAGGGAATTCTGTGTTGGAAAGCCCAGCTCCTGCTACGCTGTGGGTGTGCTGAAGGTCTGTGGGACTGGGGAGCTGCGCAGTGGGGCAGGGGGTTGTGGGACCCCCTCAGCCAGCCCTGTGGCTGAGCTGGGCTCTGCTCCTCTTGAGGCCTGGCACCATAAGCAGTGCTGGGAGCAGGTGAGGTGCCTGCCTGGCTGCTTCCTTGCACATGCACAGTGTCTGTAGACGTGGCTGAGCTGGTGCTCACCCGGCCATGCTGGAGGCTGGGGTCTGTGCATGGGAATGTTGGACCTTGAGCCACTGGGAGCAAGGTAGTGGCTGTGGACAGGGTTCCTTGGCGGGCTCTGGGTCAGGGAAGCAGGGTTAATGGAGTGTTGGGCAGGGCTGCACAGAAGCAGGAGAGTGTCCTGAGCACAGGGTCCAGCAGCCTAGGAGGGCCCGTCCCCAAACCCTCCTCCTG